TGCCAGTTTGTGATTGACCACCTTGACTACCTTGTCCAGGTTGAACTGAGGGATCCGTTGCAGTAGTACTTGCAGAAGTATCCGTTGATGAGCCAGGAAGTTGAGTGCCAGTTTGTGATTGACCACCTTGACCACCTTGACTAGCTTGTACTGAGGGATCCGTTGCAGTAGTACTTGTAGGAGGATCTGTTGATGAGCCAGGAAGTTGAGTACCAGTTTGTGTTTGACCACCTTGACCACACTGTCCAGGCTGAACTGAGGGATTTGTTGCCGTTGATGGATCCGTTGATAAGCCAGGAAGTTGAGTGCCAGTTTGTGATTGACCACCTTGTCCAGGCTGAACTGAGGGATCCGTTGCAGTAGTACTTGTAGAAGGATCCGTTGATGAGCCAGGAAGCTGAGTGCCAGTTTGTGATTGACCACCTTGTCCAGGCTGAACTGAGGGATCCGTTGCAGTAGTACTTGTGGAAGGATCCGTTGATGAGCCAGGAAGCTGAGTGCCAGTTTGTGATTGACCACCTTGACTACCTTGTCCAGGTTGAACTGAGGGATCCGTTGCAGTAGTACTTGCAGAAGTATCCGTTGATGAGCCAGGAAGTTGAGTGCCAGTTTGTGATTGACCACCTTGACTAGCTTGTACTGAGGGATCCGTTGCAGTAGTACTTGTAGAAGGATCCATTGATGAGCCAGGTAGTTGAGCGCCAGTTTGTGTTTGACCACTTTGACCACACTGTCCAGGCTGAACTGAGGGATCCGTTGCTGTGGATGGATCCGTTGATAAGCAAGGAAGTTGAGTGCCAGTTTGTAATTGACCACCCTGACCACCTTGTCCAGGCTGAACTGAGGGATCCGCTGCGGAAGTACTTGTAGAAGGATCCGTTGATAAGCATGGAAGTTGAGTGCCAGTTTGTGATTGACCACCTTGACCAACTTGACTAGGCTGAACGGACCGATGCGTTACTGTAGAAGGATCCGTTGATAAGCCAGGAAGTGGAGTGCCAGTTTGTGACTGACCACCTTGACCACCTTGACCAGGCTGAACTGAAGGATCCGTTGCAGTAGTACTTGTAGAAGGATCAGTTGATGAGCCAGGAAATTGAGTGCCAGTCTGTGGTTGACCACCTTGACCAGGCTGAACTGAGGGATCCGTTGCAGTAGTACTTGTAGAAGGATCCGTTGATGAGCCAGGAAGCTGAGTGCCAGTTTGTGATTGACCACCTTGACTACCTTGACCAGGCTGAACTGAGGGATCCGTTGCAGTAGTACTTGCAGAAGGATCCGTTGATGAGCCAGGAAGTTGAGTGCCAGTTTGTGATTGACCACCTTGACCACCTTGTACTGAGGGATCCGTTGCAGTAGTACTTGTAGAAGGATCCATTGATGAGCCAGGAAGTTGAGCGCCAGTTTGTGTTTGACCACCTTGACCACACTGACCAGGCTGAACTGAGGGATCCGTTGCTGTAGATGGATCCGTTGATAAGCAAGGAAGTTGAGTGCCAGTTTGTAATTGACCACCCTGACCACCTTGACCAGCCTGAACTGAGGGATCCGCTGCAGAAGTACTTGTAGAAGGATCCGTTGATAAGCAAGGAAGTTGAGTACCAGTTTGTGATTGACCACCTTGACCAACTGACCAGGCTGAACTGAGGGATGCGTTGCCGTGGATGGATCCGTTGATAAGCCAGGAAGTGGAGTGCCAGTTTGTGATTGACCACCTTGTCCAGGCTGAACTGAAGGATCCGTTGCAGTAGTACTTGTAGAAGGATCCGTTGATGAGCCAGGAAGTTGAGTGCCAGTTTGTGATTGACCACCTTGACTACCTTGACCAGGCTGAACTGAGGGATCCGTTGCAGTAGTACTTGTAGAAGGATCCGTTGATGAGCCAGGAAGTTGAGTGCCAGTTTGTGATTGACCACCTTGACTACCTTGACCAGGCTGAACTGAGGGATCCGTTGCAGTAGTACTTGTAGAAGGATCTGTTGATGAGCCAGGAAGTTGAGTGCCAGTTTGTGATTGACCACCTTGACCACCTGTCCAGGCTGAACTGAGGGATCCGTTGCAGTAGTACTCGTAGAAGGATCCGTTGATGAGCCAGGAAGTTGAGTGCCAGTTTGTGTTGACCACCTTGACTACCTTGACCAGGCTGAACTGAGGGATCCGTTGCAGTAGTACTTGTAGAAGGATCCGTTGATGAGCCAGGAAGTTGAGTGCCAGTTTGACCACCTTGACTACCTTGACCAGGCTGAACTGAGGGATCCGTTGCAGTAGTACTTGTAGAAGGATCCGCTGATGAGCCAGGAAGTTGAGTGCCAGTTTGTGATTGACCACCTTGACTACCTTGTCCAGGCTGAACTGAAGGATCCGTTGCAGTAGTACTTGTAGAAGGATCCGTTGATGAGCCAGGAAGTTGAGTGCCAGTTTGTGTTTGACCACCTTGACCACCTTGACCAGGCTGAACTGAGGGATCCGTTGCAGTAGTACTTGTAGAAGGATCCGTTGATGAGCCAGGAAGTTGAGTGCCAGTTTGTGTGACCACCTTGACCACCTTGACCAGGCTGAACTGAGGGATCCGTTGCAGTAGTACTTGTAGAAGGATCTGTTGATGAGCCAGGAAGTTGAGTGCCAGTTTGTGATTGACCACCTTGACCACCTTGACCAGGCTGAACTGAGGGATCCGTTGCAGAAGTACTTGTAGAAGGATCTGTTGATGAGCCAGGAAGTTGAGTGCCAGTTTGTGTTTGACCACCTTGACTACCTTGACCAGGCTGAACTGAGGGATCCGTTGCAGTAGTACTTGTAGAAGGATCTGTTGATGAGCCAGGAAGTTGAGTGCCAGTTTGTGGTTGACCACCTTGACCAGGCTGAACTGAGGTATCCGTTGCAGTAGTACTTGTAGATGGATCTGTTGATGAGCCAGGAAGTTGAGTGCCAGTTTGTGATTGACCACCATTACTACCTTGACCAGGCTGAACTGAGGGATCCGTTGCAGTAGTACTTGTAGAAGGATCCGTTGATGAGCCAGAAAGTTGACTGCCGGTTTGTAATTGACCATGCTGAGCTGAAAGATCTGTTTGATTACTACCTGTAAAAGAACCCGTAGGTAAAGTGGGAGCATGTGTACCTGACAGTGATTGTCCTGATTGAGACTGTTGCTGCGTTGTGATTATTTGAGTATGTGTGCTTGTCTGCTCATGCTGCTGACTTCCTTGTGATTCGCTTGTTGTTGATGTAGTCGATGTTGTCTGTATTGAGTAGCACACATCCACTCCGTCGTTCATACATATCTTACCTTCTTCACACGTTATTCCATTACCTACTGTCACCATAGTACCTTCTTTCGTGGGAAGGCATCGTTTGTAAGTTGTTGGCCCTATACAGTAATGTGTTCGTGTGCCACAGTTTGTTCGTGTTGTGGATTGTGCAGAAGTTCCGATTTCGCTTATGTTTATAGTTACACTAGGTAGTGAAGGAATAGTTTGCAAGCTGTGTGATAGATTGTTTGTTATATCAATTGTTGTTTGACTTGTTGAGTTGCCTTGATTAGTTGTTGGTAATATTTCGGTTTGGCTTGTCTGCGTTTGCATTTGTGTATTTGTGGAATTAATTATTGTTTGACTTGACCCGCTTACATTACTGTTGCTCACTGTTTGTGTGGTTGTATCGATGGAATACAACTCTTTAGCTTCTTCTCTTGTGCCACCTATTAAGCTTTGTCCTAAATTTACATCATTTACAGATAATTGACCTGGGTTAAGTTGTGAGGTAGTTTGCGTTGGACCATTTGAAGGTATTGTAGAGGTTATTGATGTTTGGCTAGAATTGTTCTGATTGTTTTGGCTTGTATTTTGTTGATATGTTGCTGGTATGTTTTCACCTTGGCTGGATTGTGTATATATAGTTGTCTGCATTATTTCAGTTGTCTGTCCGGAGCCTGAGTAGCCTTCCGTCTTAATTTGTTCATAGCGTTCAGTTTGTGTATATTCTGTGACTTGGTTTTCTTCAATAATTTGCCCATTCTGAGACCCTACAATTGATAGCCCAGAGCTGTTCTGACCCAATATTGAAGACTGTTCACCATTCACAGTTTGAGAATGCATAGTTACTTGACCCTGTCCTATTGTATGCACATTGGCTGCTTCGTTTACTGATTGTGCGTTCTGAGAACCAATTGCTGATGTTTGTCCAGAGCTGCTATTGCTTGTTGTTGTCGATAGTCCCATATTAGTTAATTGAGTATTCGTATTTATTTGATTTTGTCCTATTATTTGTCCTTCAGTGGTTGTGACGGAGGTTTGCCCGTTTTGGGTCTCAAAAACTGATGTTTGCGCGATATTACTTTGACCGATTATTGTTGGTTGTTCTATGTTCGTGGTTTGAGTATAAAAATTTGACTGATTTTGTATCGCTGATTGATTTCCACTTACGTCGCTTTGACCGTCACTAGTTAATGTTTGACTAATGCTGATTGCTGAAAGACTAGATCCATTTTGACCACCCGCTTGTGAATTTGAACCTTGTGTAGTTTGAGTATGTATATTTCCACCTGCTTGCATTGAGGAACCACCACTTTGACCCGTGGTTAAATGTGTAACTGCTTGCACAGTTTGCGTTAATACTTCCCCAATTTGGTTAAGTATTCCACTTGTAGGTACTTGAGTAATACTATTTTGTGCAATTGTATTGCTATTCGCTGACATTTGTGAAGATGTTGAAGTGTTCATTTGGGTAAAGTTAGAAATACTTGTTTGCTGTGAATTTTGATTGGATTGCTCTGATACAGTCGTTGTTGGTATTGTGGTTGACTGAATTGATTGAATTGTGTAACATATATCAACTCCATCATTTACACACCTTTTACCTCTCTCACATGGTATACCATTACCTACAGTTACCATCATTCCATCTCTTGTAGCAAGACAACGCTTATAAGTCATTGGGCCGATGCAATAATGGGATCTTGTTCCACAATTAATTCTTTCATTGGTTAATATAGCGGTTCTTGCAGTAGATGTTTGTTGAACTGGGTTAAGCAACTCAACTTCAACTAAATCAAGTAATTTCACTTCTAATAATGCTTTCTGTTCCGAAAAGCATATTAGCTACAAAAAATAATAATAACAGTTTAATAGTTAGGAAATGTTTTATGTATCATTTACTAATATTTGATTTGTATAAACATTGCTTGGAGTTTCTATAACACTTGCACATGAAAATTGCTAAAAACACTACATTTTATTGCAATTAATTATAATATACTCAACATTTTTGATTGAAAATTTGTAAATATTAATGTTAATTCACAAAAGCAGGCATTGTAAATCGCATACGTGTGTTCCAGCATATGGATGTTTTGAATGCCTTTAGTAAATAAAGTTAATAGATCACTTTTGTCTCGCTATACTCCAGCTTATGTTTTGTTTTTATACAAAAAAAAAAAAAAACAAAAAATAAGTTGACAAGTTACCGTTAATAAAATTAATATTCCGTTTATTTTTTTGCTAACCATCTTTGGATAGCCAGTACGGCAATTTTACTACTGTTGGCTTTGTATGCTAAAGAACGCTTTTATGCTAAAATGATTTTTCTTCTTATCTCTGGAAGAAGCGCAACAATTTGACACTATCTAAAAAATCTAAATATATTTTGATGGTATGATAAAACTGACAGTTGTAGATAATTTCTGTATATATTTTGAAGTAGTTGCGAGAAAAGCTTCAAGAGATTAAATAAATATATAGCTTAAAAAATTTTTCTCTTGAATTTTGTCTCTAATATAATAGTAGTACATCATTTCATTCTGCGCTCACCATTTCTAAAATATTTCATTCATGCATCATATTTTAATTAGTTTAGATATACAAATTAATTGGAAATGTGAAATACCATATGTGTGTGCACCAAACTTCTGAAGCTCAATAAATCTTTTATAAAGCAAACAATTTTATATAATGAGCATTCATTATAAATAAAAAACATATTTTGTAAGTTTTAATTAAAAAAGTAGTTTTTCACACTTTTCTGTCAGCAATTAATTAAAGGAATTGTATAAATGATTTCCACTGTAAAGGTTTACACTTTTAAAAATTTTCGAGACTATGTATTTGACATTTACCGCACTTTACACAAAGTCTATAGCAAATGTAATCTTAACTCTAACCTTTTGTAACCATGTTGGAAAGAGACAACTAAAAATAAGTATTTTTTTGGTTGGTAACGTTTATAATGCTATCGTTCTTGTATACTATGTTCTATTACAAAAGGTATTTTATATAAATAAATATCCACTTTCGCAAATCTTTAGAGTTATTTGATTATATGTCAAAGAATAATTTTCTGAAGTTCTGAGTTGTTAAAATGAAACGCACAGTATTCTGGTTTTAGTAACTCGTATATAATTGTATAGATTGCAAATGACTGACCTAGACCGACATTTTCAAACTTGAAACACAGAGGAGGGATTTAACTAAACAAGAAACCAAATTTACGTTGCACAAATTTTATGTTGACTGACTATTAAAGCCAGTCTAATATATCCAACTAGTAATAATAATGGATATTTGAGAGTATTAAAAACAGCTATATAGTTAGCCGAAATTAATTAAATAAGCTTTTAGATATTAATCTCTATTATTTACTTTTCTCGTTTCTATACAAGTATATGTATGTAATATAATAGGTCTGTTCCACGTGCCACTCGTACTAACTTTGAGTAGCTTGTGTATAAACAAGTGTATTCCAGCACCAAATTTTCGAATAAAAAAGAGTATCTAAAAGAGTGTAACATCCCTGTCGAAATTTTAAAATGATACACAGACTTTACTCGAACGTTTTCTTTCAGTAAAATTTGTGTTGACTGTGCAAGGAGTGTAATTTGGTACTTCATTGGTATTACGCTCTTAGTTTGTACTTTACTTGTGTCAATGAGTATTTAATACATAGAGTGTGCATCAGGAACAAATTCGCTGATCACACTGCGGGTCTACTGGTAGGCCCTTTATTATAGAAATGAGTTAAAAATAGAAGTTATAACTTTCATAATATATATTAAATTTAAATCTAAAATTGTAAGTATTAAAAATAATAGAAATTTATATATTTTAGAAAACAGATTAAACAAAATTAGAGATTTCCTATAACGTAAACTATCATCTATAATGTATGGTAACTTCTCAGTTTTGCAAGCGATTTGCTTGACTTACGTTTCATAAACAATATAAATATTTCGGATATAATAAATGTCGTTATATTATTACATATTGAATTTTTGTTAAAATACATGAGGTTTATTCAAGGTCATATTTTGTACAATTTTTCAGTGACTTATTGGACCTGAAAAAGATATAAAACATAAAGTTCGAAGGACAAATTGATGTTTTTTTTTTTTGTAAATATTAGACATTTGGCTATTAGTAGAAAAAATATAAAACATGACTATAATTATTATAAGACTCAACTCAAAATCTCAATTTCGCTAAAATTTTATAAAACTTCAAACAAATTGCAATAACTTACAAAATAATAAAGTGCTGTTTACTTCTATACAAAGAAGAAATTTGCATTTTCCAAAATATTCTAAGATGAATGAAAACAAATACATTGAAAACCAACAAAAAATGAAATGGTTTAACACTCCAACCCCTCCCGCATCATGAAGATGCAAAATTAAAAATTGAGTCATAACGAGTCTATGTATTAAATAGTCTTTCCTTGTGTTTTACTCGAGCTTTACTACGTGTAGCTCATGGAGCAGACCTAATATTCAAGTTCTTCACTTATAAATTTTACTGTAACGGCAACTCCACATAATTCCCAAGTAACGGACTTGAATGTGGTGAATTTGTAATTTTATGTTGTTGTAATGTTGTGAATTTAAGTAATTTGTTATTGTAACTGAGGAAAGTGTGAAACTTCTCTGAGTTGTCACATTCCAAATATAATCAACACAATTTCACAAAAGCGTGGATACCCCTGGACTGAAAAACTGCTCTTAAATCTTAAATCGGGTAAGAAGTTTCAAAACAGTTCGATTACGGATTTAAAGCCAGTTCCTCTTATAATAAGTGGTTGGGTTTTTCCAAAAAGCTCACAAAAGATGACGCTTTCTGTAATACTTTTAAGGGAGAGTATACAAACCAAATGCATTATTATATAAAATTTCGTTGTGTGTACCTGATTGAACATCTTATTAGATAATAATATATTTGACGTTATATTATATTATTTTACAGAATCTTTCTTATGATTCCGAAATATATTCTGATGGAGTATAGTGTATACGAGCACTATGGGGTTGCACCTTTCACATATCACATTCATTATTTAAACTCAAAACGCGAAAAAAAGTATTTTGTTTGTACTTCAAAATTCATTGACTCTAAAAGCTTTGTTGATGTGACGCTGAAAGATAAACACAGCGGATTTTTTTACAAATATTTTTCTAATGTCAAATTGTATTTCTAATTTATATCTTTGCATTATTATCTGCAGCTATGAATATACCACAAAGTAATAAAGTTGTCGTCGGACTGAAGATAAAATATGAATATTTGTCATAGAAAGCTGCTGAGAATCGGAGGGTATTCTTTCTGCAATAAGAAAGAGAATTTATCATCTAATTCGTTGGCAGCAATAATTAAGTTTATATTAGAAATATTTGAAAAGATATAAAATTCTAATGCAACATTTTTTGATTGTTCCAAACAACATTGAAAACTAAAAAGTTTTAGTTTGGGTCTAAGGTATATATTTCATATTTACAGTTGAAATCCGATTAAGTTCAAAAATAAATAGATTTTTCAGTTCAAAAGTATTTACATTTTTTAAAGAAGTTTTGTTTCATTAGAGTTGAAAGTACGGCCCTATGCTCCTCCTAGGAGTTAAAGGATTAATATATACATATTTTATACCCGTACCAGTTCCATCATGGTGCAACCTGAATCAGTGGCATATTTAACATGTACTTGACGCGACAGATTGTTAGAAAGACGCAAGTGCTTAAATAGTGTTTATTTGAATTTATCTTTTTTTCTTATCAATACACCATTAATATTAGCATATCATATACATATTTTGACTTATTTGCCACTTATATATATCACTCAGATAAATACAATGCGGTTTTGAAAGGCAGAACAGATATGATCGGACATAATGGCTGAAATAGTTCATCGAAATGAATGAACTGAAATACTACTCAATAAATTAATGTGGAGGTAGATGGTAGAAAAATTTTTCCATTAACAATTAATTTACAGATGTTTAAATGAAATAGATGTCGAGTTGTCATATATTATTTACAAATTTCTGAATTGTTTGTACTGTCGATTTTAGTTTCTTTGATCTGTAATCTTTAAACTTATTTCGACTGGAAATAAGGTATTTAGTGAGTACATCTGTTGGCAAGTATATGAATATGTGTCAATCAAAAGTCATGAGAATGACTATACGGGTATCCCAATTTCCCAATTTTATCGCATATATTGTATATATTATATGATATATATTTTATATTGTTTTGAACACATCTAACTCATACTTCAATAAACTGTTGGAGACATCTAGTACATTTCTTCATTAACTACCTTTTTAAACACTTTAGATAAAAATGTATAAAAAGATTTTTGCAATGCATTATGGCAAATGCCGTTGACCCTATAAAGTATTCTTTTTCTTGATCAACTCCGGAGTTGAGTTCATTTAGATTTGTCTGTCTATGCGTCTATCTATTAGAGTTTAAACTATTGCTTCAATTTTGGGCTATTCGACTGAAACTTTGCAAACATGGTTTGCGGAAGTAAAACTTCATAATTTGCCGAATTGGTTGAAATCAGATTACTATATTTTAAAGCTCCTTTCAGCAACGGAAGAATCTGAAATGAGTTTCTACGTCTTTAGTAATGATATTAAAAAAAATTTAATATAAAATATTTGCATGTACTTTAAATTTAGAACTTTGGAGTTGTTAATAGAATGCAACCTGTGTAATGAAAACGTTTCATGCTTTTCTTAGAATCCTTTTTCTATATTTCAAGGTATTGCTTCTTATTTAGAATAAAAGTAACTGTTATAGAAGAAAATATTCGAGGTGAAATAATATCGAATGATTTAAAATTGATTAGATATATTTGTCTCACAAATTGATACTACAGGTTTATCTTATATCAAATTATATCTGCTGTCGTTCACACAAGAAGTCAAGAAGTTAATTCAAAGTTAATAAATAATTAAATATAACAGTGAACAAAAAATTTATAGCAGATCTTCTTAGTATTATTATATATTTTATTATATTACATATATATTATTATAAAAATAAAAGCTCAATATTGATTTAAAGTTTTGAATAAAGGGGATCTAAGCTTCAGAAAAATCAAAGCTAACGCAAACTGAGTTCGTGTTGTTTATGGAAAGTCAGTACTAATAGAGTTAATAGCCAAATAGGTTTGATCACAAGGTAAACATTATGTGTTACTGTCGTAAACGATTATTCAACTTTTCCAGAAATCAGTTTTTGATTTTTG